TATACGCATTTTTTTATTTTTTAAGTTTCTTTTACTAGATCATACTGTAATTATACTCAATCTATGGTCTAGAAAGAAAAAAAGAAAACATATAGAAAAATTAAGAAATTGTTTATTATAAAATCTATACGCAGTTTACATACAAAATCGATAATATGCGATTTTAAACATGCTTATGTATAGATAAATATCACTTGACTTCACTTTATTTTACTTCACTGCACTTCACTTCACAATAATCCACTTCACTTTACTTTTTTTCACTTTTCGCTATCATTATCTACAACAATTTACAGGACATCACTGACGAATAAAAGCATACGAACTTAATACTGCCGTTACCACCAATTGCTACACAAATATTTCAACGGTTAAGAAAAAGACCGAAAACAAAAACCCAAAGAATAAGTGAGAGAAAAGTTCAGATGGCGTTACCGTATGTAATGTCTCAACTTGCGCATGCGCGTTAATTAAGTTAATCGGCGTTTAATCTAAGAATATTCCAAGCGGACACTGTCTTTTACGTGATGCTTCTGGCTCGGATGTAGGCCGAAACGTCTAGTTTTTGTATCATTTTTTAAGTATTATAATATATTTTATATCTTAATCGCACCATTAACAGCTAATTACTCTCATTAACGCTAGATTTTTCTATATTTTATATTACGTATATCCCAATATTTAAATAAAGCATATTTTTATATAACACACATTGTGCATTAATAATAATACCTACCGTCCTGTGTTTTTCCGATTTCCTGTTCTTGTAATAATTCATGATGGGATTCCATGTATGTTAATAAAATTTCTCGTTGCTTATATGTAACATTCATTTTTAAACTGAAATACATATACTAAATTAGAGAAATTTTTCAAATGAATGTTTGTATTTTAATTGTTGTAACTTACAATTATTAGTAACTATTTTTCTTATTGCCACTGATTGTATTTTTATTCAGACTGATGTTTGTGTAATATAGGTATTAAGGTTATGTTTAGAATCGTGAAGTTTTGTCTTCGGTATGATTTTTGGAATATTTTCATGTGAATAGGTCCACCACTTCTATTTATGTCACTAATCATTTCTTTCGCTGCGAGTTTTTCTGCTTTGTAGTGGAAAAAGCACCGACAGATTAATTGTCCGTCTTTGTCTGCCTACGGACCGATAATCATGGACATAGGGAAGATTCGAACCAAAAATTTGTAGACATTACCGATGCGGTCGTGGAAATTGGCTATATAGTTCAACGTCGACGTTTTGTGGACATAAGAGGCGTTTTAAAATAAGTAACAGCTAAATTCCGAGCATGGCCGCATGGCAAGTTCCGTTGAACCACCCGACCGGTGCGGACGCGTCTCGGTTCGGGTGTTCGTTTTTTGTATATTTTTGAGAAAGTGTTGCCGACTTTGACCGTGCCTCGAATTTCCTTACTGATGTGTGTCCGCGTTTGGTTCGGCCCGTTCGTCCGTCCGGACGCGCGTTAGAGTGGCGTGACGACGTTGCAATCGCAGGCGCCCTGTGTTCGTTCGGGCTTCGCCATTTTTCGCGGGCATTGCATCATTCTTCGTTTACATATTACGACTTTGTTTCGTTTACACATTACGACTTTTGTTACTGGCCTTGACGATTGCCGTTGGAGCGGCTACATGGCCAATAAGAATACAAAGAAGAAAGAAGATGGCCGCATGGCCGCTCTCAGGCTTCTCTCTGGTGATAGTCTTCTATTTTTCAAAAAGATGGTTTCAACAGTGCTAGTTTCTCTCTAATTTGTTGGCACCTTGGCGGCAAAAGCAGCAATTGTTTACGAGATAGTTGCAGTTAATTTATTATATGGTCAATTATTTAAGAAATATGTAAAATTTGTATTACATTTTGTGTTAATATTATTTGTTTGTTTAATGTTATTATAAAGTCGTGAATATTAATGGAACACTTGTTTGCTTATGTATTGTTTGTGTAATTATTTAAAGATTTTGAATTGGTGAAGATTTTTGGGAGAAAAGTGTTGCCGGTGTGATCAAACATTAATTACTCTCGAAGAAGAAATTTTTATTTAATAACAATGGATTTCTCAGCTACGCAAGTTTATGAGGATGAAGATTATTTAAGGACCGACTCACATATGTCAGAAGAGGACGAGTCAGTACAGGTTAATTATAGTTAAATACGTTTTTTAATAGTAAAATGTAAGGTTGAAGAGAGAGAGAGAGAGAGAGAGTGAAATTGAGATTATACTTATTATATTTTATTGTGAATTTATAATAGTATATTCGTTGAATCTTAAATAAGAAACAGACTTTCAAATTGGGCGTTTTGTTCAAAATTTATAATTCTCAAAAAACGAGAAAGAAAGAAAACTACGCGCTTTACAGAAAATAACAATTTGCTAATTAGTAAGATATGAAATATTCAATAAAATTACTAAACAGTTGCTAAAGTGTTAAACAAATATATTTTGTTTGTTTCTATTTAAAGATAAGACATAAAGCACTTCAAATGTTAAGATTTTTTTAAGCACATAAACTGATAGTGTAGAAATGCTTTCAAAACATTGTAAAGTAGCTTAAAATATCAGTTTCTCAACACTGAACACTATGCTATTGTTAATTCAAAAAATAAAATTTTGGACGAAATGTATTTCAAAGTTTGTTCCTCAAATATTTTCTATGTTTTGATGTTTGATATTGAATTATTTTCTAATATTTTATTTCAGAAATAATACTTAATTCTAGCTATGTATATTGGGGTTCCAGAAACCCCAGTAAAATTTGCTAAATTAAGATTTTTTTCGTGTTTCTGAATTTTTCTTTTTCTTTGAACCTACATATTTCGAAGCTCCTTAATTCTATCAATTTTGACATATTGTGGATTTGTTTCTTAATCAATTCTGTATCAATTAAAAAAAAATGTGAAATGTATCCATTTTACAGAAATTATAGTAATAAATATGGATGGGGTCCCAGAGACTCAAGTGTGGATGTCATGAGTACAAAAAAAAGTGTATAGTTAGGATTTATACATTATGGTTTAATAAAACGTTTTATATTTTATTAAATAATTTAGGTTGGAATGTTAAGCATCAATTCCACTGACTATCCGATTAAAATAGGGATTACAAAAATCGGTAGACTTGATACCTGCAATATTGTTATTCAAAATGAGGTAAGTTTTAGCATATTTTTTATTATTTCTATAGTTGAGAATAATTTTTATAAACTAGGCTTGAAGAAAAATATTTCTTTAGTTTTATGTAAGAACTTATAGTAAAAGCTATAAATTAATATATAAAATTGTATAACATTTTATATCAGAATAAAGCTTAAATATAATTTGAATAAAATGTTTTTTCTTCAGTATTGTTTAAAATTCTTTATTAGTTTTGATTATGGTAGATAGATTTTGTATCTTTTTTTATTTCTTTTTTGTACATAATGAAAGACTCAATAAACGAGCATTTTTGAAGTCAAGTACTGAAAAAAGTAATATTTTAAAATAAATTTGTAATATTTTAAATTTTTTTTAGACAGTATCAAAACTGCATGCAGAAATTGAAGCTAGTGGTCGAGGATCAACTTGGATTTGTGATCTAAAATCTCTCAACAAAACAAAACTTAATAATGTAATAATTATTACATATACATATATATATTTAGTTATCAATAATTATATCAAAGCTCTAGATTTCTGTCATTTTATCATTTTGATATACAAGCTATGTCATTAATAGGGTGCCTTCCAACAAGCGACATACAGATGACACAGTGTAAGGCTGGAATCAGACTATGCATTGAAGAATAAGATTGAAGATTGAAAGATTGAAATTTGACCAATCAAAACAAAAGGAGCCGAAATTTCTTTATCCTCATTGGTAAAATTTCAATCTTTAATCTTGAATCTCAATCTTCAATGTGTAGTCTGATTCCAGCCTACATACAGTGTATCAGTACATCTTTGCTGTTTGCCAATATTAAACAAGGATAAAATGATCACTGTATTGTATTTGTTGGAAAGCATACATAATCTCATTTGCATGTGCAGACATATAATTAGTTGATAGAGAAATAATTATTCTTAATAAACTGTATATGTGGAAAATGCATATACACATATAAATTATTTATATAAATTTTTAAATATTTTATTTAAAATGACGTAACAAAAATATTGTGATTATTTTTAAGATGAATTAATAGAATTTTTTCTTATGTTTACAGTTAGTACTGAAATCCAATCGTTCTTATGAACTTAAGGATAGAAGTGTTATTGAATTCGGCGGAGTATGTGCAACTTATCATACATACTGTCCGGCCAACGACTTAGTAATACCGGAAACACCTGCACCATCGAGACAGAAAACTACTAATATAATAATTCCAAATACACCAGATTCATCACTTGTAAGTAATTTTGCGATTAGTAATATTTGTTATAAGCTTCATGTTTTATTGGTTGTATAATATTTATGTTAATTGAATTAAAATTAGGAATATATTCATTTGCAGAATAATTCATCCGGTATGGACAATGATGGATCCATTATTCTTGGAACTCAAAAAGATGACGAGAACAGCATTTTTCGACGACCGCGGGTTTTACGACAAAATTTATCTCCAAGTATTAATAAAAAGAATACTTCCAAAAATGAGAGCAATGATTCGCTAAGTGCCATTACATTGCACACATCTAATATTAATGTTAGTGAGAATCAAGTTAATATAGATGATACAGAGACACAAAAGTTTGATGAAGAATGCAAACCGACATCAAATTCCATTTATGATATGGAGACGCAAGGAGATATATTCAAGCCTATTGAAACGAATACTAAAATTACCAAGCAGCTACCAAAACTAAATGTTTGTGACAAAACAGCTGGCAGATCTGTAACAGATATCCATGATATGGAAACTCAAAATTATATAAACGATATTAATGGAATGGAAATTCAAGAGAACAATGTAATAGCGGAGAAGTTTACGACGGATATTCATACTATGAAAACGCAAATTTATGCTGACAATATTGATGAAGATGACAAAGATGCTCAGAAATCTGAAATTGATAACAATCAAGAAAAAAGTTTAGCCAAAATTGAGTGCAATATTCACGATTTAGAAACACAAAAGTATGATGAAAACTATATTGCAAAAGATATATCTGATTTGGAAACTCAACTTGAATTACACAGTGTTGCAACAGGCGAGCAGAATAAAGACATATCCAATATGGAAACTCAATTCGAAGTAGATAGTATGGCAAATGTGATTAGTAATGATCGAGCCAATAAGGAAAAAGATAGAAATAATATAGCAAATACCACTAAAGACGAGATAAATCATGAGAACATCACAAAGTCACCGAGATCCAAATCCAGTAATCCTAGATCTTTGAATATATCTTCACCAAAAGTTAAAGATAGTCCTCCTTCATCGTTAAATCAGAGTGTTCATTTGCTTGAATCATCAGATTTATTAGAGTTCTTTAGCGAAGGCATTGATAAGCAAAAAATACAAGTATCTAATGCGTCTACTCCGAAACAGCTTACAAAAGTGTCATCGAAAAAGTATAGTGATGTTGAAGATGTGCAAAACACAAATAATGAAGAGAACAACGATGAAGATATTTTCGAAGCTCCTACTCAACGCATCAATTGCAAATTCGATGCTTTAATGTCAGACGATTCCGAAATCGATGAGGAAGATTGGATAACAATATGTAAAAATTCCAAAAAGAAGCATAGGAAGCCTCACTCAGAACAAACTAACGATGATTCGGAATCAACCGCGGAAGAAAACATTGCGAAACTTGCTGAAAAGAAGTGTAACTTAAGAACTTTAAATAAGGCATCTGATGAAGTCATAAATAGCAATGACCCTGGTACGAGTATCGAATCTGAAGATATGTTTGATGTACCAACGCAATTGAACAATCCTATGACTAAGAATACATCGAATTCTTTAATTGATCAATCACAAAACTCTAAAATTAATGAGGCTAAGATTAGTAATATACTATCGACGCAAATTATAAACAATCAGAAAAATATACCTATGCCAGATATTAATGATGTAGCACCTACTCAACTCATTTTATCACGTGAAACTTCTCCGAATAATTCTATGAACTTGGCTTTGAAAAATAATCAAAACGATGTGAATGATGTGGCAAATAAGCGAATTAATACAAAATCGGTTGGAAATCTTGATCGTGAAGATATAGATTATGAGCTTGCGCCTACACAAGTAATCGGTGAAATTGAAAATGAAGGAAAGGGAATTTCCACTTGTGCAAAAGGCTCTTCTCAAATAAATGATACTCTTGAAGAAAAACTGAATGAAATGTTTGATGATGTAAATAATGATACGAATAGCATTCACGAATCGCCACATATGTCGACGCAATATCTGGAAGAGATTCTGGAATCATCGCAAAATGATGACTCAACTAAGAAAGTCAACGTTGATGACAGAGATGCATGTAACGTGTCACAGAAGCAAACAGAAAAGAAGAAACATGCATCCTGTAATCAACATTCACATAATTTATTGGATAGTGAGATAAATACGAGTAATGTAAATAAGGCAGAGACTGAATCGCAAAATTCAGATATTTATTTTTCTACTATTACTTCACGACGAAAGAAAAATATTTTAAGAGATACACAAGAGTTCGCAGACTCTGTGGAGGATATAACTCCTGATCAAGACATTGATTTTCCTCAGACGTCTAAAGTAAATAATGAGAAAGCTATGCTAGATAATGTAGCTCAAGAATCTAACAAGAGAAAAAAAAGAATCGCAAAGACAAAACACGAATCTGATTTAGTAACGGAAACAATAAATGACAATGACAAGAATAAAATCATTTCAGATCGGAATAACAAAAGAAGTATTCAAAGTTCAAAATTGATGAAACGTGATGATGAACTCGCAGAAACGAGGAAACAAATCTTGAAAAGTGATCCAATTGAATTGAAAGTTGATGATACAAAAGAGAATACATCAATTTGCATACCTTGCCCATCAGGAAATGGACAACGTGCGCAAATACTGGATACATTGTATGAGAGTGACGATGACATTCTAATGCGCTTACCAGCCGTTAGAATATCAGGTACACTTTCAAATCCAGCAAGTCCTTCTGCATCATCATCGTCAACTGTGCGTAGCACTAAATCTAAACGAAATACCGCAAGGGGTAAGAAAAAAGAAAATACATCCTTTAAAGAAAAATCATTACGTAAACAAAATATTAAAAACTGTGAAAAACACAATAAGTTATCTATTGATAGTTCAAATCTCAACAATTTGACTGGTAAAATATCAGACTTTGTGGATACTTCCGATGATTCTAACGAATCCACCTATGAACGATTCCAACAAATTGCAGATAGACTATACAACAATGAATATAGTTGTCCGAAACGGCAGAAGAAAAGAAGCAAAGAAAGTTCACGAGTTTCGCCAGATGTGTCAGAAGATCCAAAGCAGAGTATGGATGTCAAATTGAAAAATTCTGCGACGACCAGTTCAAGAATAACAAGACATTCCAGCAAAAAAAATGACGAGGGTCCACATAATCAGAAAGAAACTTTAAAAAACATAGTCTCTGGAGCAACTGAATCTACGCAGTCTGAAACGAAATCTATTATCGGTAAAAGAAAGGTATCTCTAAATGTGATAGAAAAAAGTGTGGAACAAACTACTTCGAAAAAACGTAAAACTGTCACTGAGGAATGTCCAGTTTCTACACGTAGTCGCAGAAATGCCATGAAAATCGCAACCAATAGGCAATCCCCGAATATCCTTGAACATTTCACTAAAACAAGATTACGTGAAAATATCTCTAAAAATATGAAATCTTTTGAAGATAATAAAGCAATATCTAAAACTACGTTAGAAGAAACTCAAGAGATCTTCTTAACAGATGGAAATGTCTATCCTGAGAAAGTCAATGTTAAACGAACTAGACAAACGAGACAAATAATTTATGACAATCAAGTTATGACACATGGCAATGATGTAACTCCAAGTGAAAATAGTAAAAAAAATAAACCATCTCCAACAAAAGGAGTAGAAGCACAGACGAATAAGCCACAAAAGATTCTGAAAGTTATACTTAGTCCCTTAAAGAGCTTCTCAGATGATGCATCGCAAGAAGTCGAAAGTATTATGACAAGAGGTTCAAGTAATATACAAGATAAGAATTTATCAATCAGAGAAGGTAGTAAGGCAAAAATATTTAAAAGAAAATTGAGAACCAGAAGTAAGAAACAACAAAATTCAGATACTGAAACAGATTCTGTTTTAACTGAGAGTAGTGTGTCATCTGAAATAGAAGACTCTGATAATACACAACTTGACAATGTTGTACTAAAAACTAAACGTGAAAAATCTGCTAAAAGTTTCGTTTCTTCGCTGCTAAAAACACAAATCTCAATTAAAAAAACAGAAATGTTTAAGAAGCCTCGAATTACTCGAAATTCTACAAGTTCACTTCTTGATATCTCCGCAGAAAACACAACTGATGAAAATAGTCAAGGCAGTATCGAAAGTAACGCTTCGATAAGTTCTAGATCTTCACGATCAAGGACAACAAGAAAGAAGATGGAGTCGAATCAAAATACTCATAAACTAATTGACAAGACTGCTTCAACACTACATACAAACACAGAAACTACATCTCTTATTTTAACGCCTTCTAGAACACGCAGAAGTACGTCGAGTCTAAATAATTCGATATCATCCGCAATGAAACATAACGTTTTATTTACGGGTATAATGGAAGATTATAGTGAGATTGTCAATACATTAGGTGAGTATAAATTTAAATAAATTATATATTTAAATGATAAATAAAACAACCAGAAGGGCAAATCTGAGAGTCGTTATAGGATATAAATAAGAAATTAATACACAAAAAAAATGAATTTATAATTAAGACAGTTTAAATTACATACATGACATGTTTCGGCTCCTGGATTGAGCCATCTTCAGATGTAAGTAAATCCTTTGTATCGCAGTGACGAGAAAGAATTATAATGTATTCTTATGTTGCGATTATAACTGAGTGACTTTCCGAGAGATTAAAATCGCTGACAGAAGATTGGTAAATCGAATGTTGGCAAGTTCGATAATCTAGTTTGAAATTACATTGGATTATAAATATAGATAAAATAATTCTGCGAAGTTCCTTTGTCTCAATTGAATAAGTTACCTACAAAGTACTCATATTATTGAAATTGTTTAACGAAGATGAAAAATACGTTAGAATAAATCAACCATTTGTCGCGTTGAGAGTTGAATAAAAGTCCAATCGTATCATCGATGATGATTAAAAAAGAATAAGTTACAAATTTAAGAAGTCAGAAATTAGTAAGAAATAAACGGAGTCAAAAAATTAAGAACTATACGATTCGACTAACCGACAACGACTGCGCAATATTTTATTGTTAATGTTCTTGGTACTGCAAAGTCATATATTGTTTATATTCGATATACAGGGTGTCCGTCCATAAGTGTCGGAGCAAATATCTCGCAACTGGTTGAGGTTAAAGAAAGTTTAATAAGAGAAATTTGTACGACTCCGAGTCAGCTACAAAGTGCATGCAAACATTTTTTTTATACTCGTTGCGCTTTTTCAAGTTATGTAGATTAACATAGTTTTTTTAAATGGATACCGATACTTTTTTTTTTGCATATTCGTATAGTAGGGAGTATTTGCAATCAAAATCATATCTAGTAAAAAATTGCTGCTATACATCATTTACGAGATCATCGACATCTTAGGTATCAAAGTAGTAATTTGGGTTCTAAATAATTTTGAACGGGGTTTAAAATGTCAAAGAGAAGTTGAAGAAGAAAACAATGTTTTTTTATAGAACATTTATTAACTCACAATTGCTCAAAATTTTGACCTCATGTTCAATACAACATTCAACGCGTTTTATAATGTTTCTCATTGTTGACTGCAGCATTTCTATGTAATGCCTTCAACAGCTGTAGCGATTTTATGTCATAAATCGTCAACATTAAGATAACCATGGAAAAAGAAAGGTCCAATAATTTTCGTTCCGATAATTCCACACCATACGTTCACCGTAAATCTGCGTTGAAAACCTCTATCTCTTGTCGTATGTGGGTTCACATCAGACCAAGTATGCATGTTATGTCGGTTTTCTATACCACAATTTGAAAAACACGATTCGTCAGACCGTAATATTTTTTTAAGAAAATCAATGTTATTGCGATAATTAACTCGAAGCCAGTGACAGAACATTAATCGGCGATCTGTATCTCCTTCATGTAAAGCTTGCACTAAATTATCACGAAACGGTTTGAAATTGTATTTCTTTAATACAGCATGCACGTAACTTCTTGATAGTTTTAAATTACGTGCTACTATTCTTATGGATGTACGTCTGTTTTCAATAAAATTTAATAGCACATTTGTCTCTTTCTCTTGGTCTGTTCTGATTGTACGACGTTGTTATCGATCCTGTTCGACGTAATTCATCTTCGACTCGCTGAAATGTACGACCATTTGGTATTCTTCCTTCTGGATACTTTTGTTGATAGAGTAGTTGAGCTTCATTTTCATTACGCATCTTAAATGCCACATCTCGAGCATATCACACTTTTCACTAATACTAAACATCGTTATTTTTGTAATCTACAATATAATATGTATTTATTGAAAAGACGACTGACTGACTAACACAAACTGCACTGAATTTCATACTCCATGTTATACAAATACTTTATTTACAAAATAAGTAGTCGCGTATTTTGAGTTGAAGGTCAGTGATCCTGTTCGATATAACCGACTTCAAAATATTAGTTTGAATCTTGTTTTTCAAATTGTGAATATGGAGAATCAACTTCTTAAAATTTAATACCTAAGATGTCGATTATCTCATAAACGATGCATAGCAGCAATTTTTTACTAGATATGATTTTGGTTGCAAATGCTCCCTATTATACGAATATGCAAAAAAAATTATAGGTATCCATTTAAAAAAAACTATGTTAACCTACTTAACTCAAAAAAGCAACGAGTATAAAAAAAATGTTTGCATGCACTTCGTAGTTAACTCGGAGTCGTACAAATTTCTCTTATTAAACTTTTTTGTAACTTCAACCAGTTGCGAGATATTTGCTCCGACATCCTGTATATCATTTGTGGAGGCTTTTCGTATCTGTTTGGAGATTGAGGCTTATTAAATGTTATTTTGTCTCTTAATATTCATTATTTTGGATATTAATCTTTTACCATAGCAAGATTCTTCATCCAGAATTTCTACGTTGTCCCATTAAAAGTCATGATCGAATTTTATTCTATGGTCGGTTATGACAGAACGAGACGTATTCCATCTTATGTGATTTCGATGTTATGAAATTCTTGTTTTTAATTGTCTGTTCATCTGTCCAACGTATGTTGCTTCACAATCTTTGCAACTTATTTTATAAACTACGTTATATTTTGATAACTGGGAACGAGTATCTTTGTGAACCTTGATATATTTTTGTAATTTGTTTAAATTGTGAAACGCAACTCTGACATTATCGTTTAAATCTTTCAGTACATGACGGTATACATATAAGGGACCACAAACCAAGAAGGAAAGGCAGTTTTATTATTTATGGTAGATGAAATCTATTTCTATGACTTAGATTATTAATTTTGTTGTTAATTATTTCAAAGATGAAATTGATTGGATAATCGTTATCTAATAAAATCTTAATGATTGTTTTTAAGTTTTTTGTATGAAATTCATGATTGGATAATAAAATTGCTCTGTCAACTAATGAAATTATTGTGCTTTTTTTTGTGAAATTGGATGGTTCGAGAGGAAATTGAGATGTCTGCCTGAAAAACTCGGCTTGTTGTACCAGTCAAAAATCAGTTGTTTGTTTTTTATTATAATTATGAAGTCTAAAAAGTTTATAGTGCTTCCCCCATCTCCAAGATAAACTGAAGGCGAGGATGTAAAGAATTAAAAAAACAAGGTTCATATGAATAAATCTAAAATAAATAATAAAATGCCAATTTGAGCCGATTCAAGTTATCAGTGTGTGTATATATCTTTATATATAAATTTTATTCAAAACGAACAAAAAAATAACGTATACATTTTGACTTATTATTCGGGTCCTCTTCAGTACAAAAAAAAATAAATTAAATATAAGTCATACATATAAAAATATCGAATAAAGTACGAAATATCATAATAGTAATGTCCAAATTCAAGTCAAATCTTGTTATGAAATTGATAAGTTTAATAATTGTCAAGATTAGACTGTTATCATTGTGGCACCTGTACTAGCTCTATTACACTGCTCGGTTTAATGGAAAGTTTAAAAGAAAATTATTAGACAAGAGACATTAACTGTTTGATAGACAAATGTAAAAAAAAATTATACAGAGTAAATTATACAGGTAAAGAATTAAATATATAAAGTAAATCTTCAACCTTGGAAGAAGGAACAGCAGTGAGTACATCGTTTATATATCGGAAATAAAACGGAATATTGTAATGGAACGATGTCAGTGCGTTCTTCTCTAACTTTTGCAGTACCAAGTCCACTATAATGGGAGACAACGGAGAACCCATAGGAGTGCCAAAGTTTTGCTTATAGATATTGCTGTCAAACAAAAAATAAGTCGAATCCAATATGAATCGAACAGCCTCAATAAACTCGGTTTTGGAAAGATTACATTTTCCCGAGATAAATGCCTAGTTCTCATTCACACATTCCAAGGCTATATCCGTCGGTACGTTGTAAATAATGACACGACGTCTAAAGATATAAGTATATAGATCTTGTCAATGTGCATTCCTTTCAACCTGCCGACTAATTGAAAACTATTTTGTATATGACCGTTCGATTAGGAATGGACTCAATGATTATGTTATGTAAAAAAAAATGCTAGTTAGTGTAACGGACTATTGATAGAAGATACAATGATTCTAAAGGGACAATCAAGTTTATGGATTTTTGGCACTCCATACGTTCTCGGAAGTGACCTATCACTACAATATAATTGTCTATATTTTGAATCACTTATGTAGTTATGCTTCTTCCATTTCGTACATAAGTAAATTTTTAAGTGATGTGAGTTTTTTAGAAGGATTTTTTTAAATTAACGTATAGGTATTAGTGTCCTGTAGCATTCATTGATTTTTTTCAGTATATTTAACTTTATCAAGCACTACTGTGACATTACCTTTGTCAGCATGAGTGAATGTTACATTAGGATGAGAAGTTAAAAATTGTTTTGTATCCGATTCTAGTTTCATTAATTTTTTATCTATGGGAGATGTGAAAATAGGAGAATGATTAATGTTGTTAAGGATGGAATTGTTAATGATGTTTATCTATCGCCAAAATCTTCGGATACTATTTTCAATATTTTTTATGCAATCTAGTATGATGTTTTTCTTATTGTTATATGGTAATGCAAAATTCTTGCCAAGTTGTAAGAAACATTGGATATCTGTAGGAATATGAATGGATGATAAGTTGACAAACCAATTTTTTTCTGAGTGAGGTTAACGAGGAGAAATTTATGGATGAAGGAAGGATTTTATTGTTAATGTTTGTTAATGATACATATCGGTCGGATTATGTGCGGAGAGGGAGGAATAATGGATGACGGGGTTAAATAATTATTATTAGAAGGAATGTGAGCAATGTCACAGCACCGCTTGATCGGTTTGATATTATTAATTTTCTGTTTATATTGTTTTTGTGAAAGCCAATGTATTTTTGCTTTTATCTTTAACTCTCTTCTTCTAAAGTAAGAGAAACAAGCTTTTTCTTGCGTGTTGAGAAATTCATCGCAAATTATCGTAGGAAGAAGATGTGTCATATTGTTGGCTAGTTGAAATAATTGCATTTCTACAAAAGTCATTCTTTCTGTGTGAGTCATTCAGTTCTATGTGCAGAACTTTTTGTACAAATGCATCTGTGTAATGTGATAATTTTTTGTTAAAATTACGTTGATATAAATTTACGTTCAACTTTTTGATTACATTAAGATGTTGAGGAGTTATTTTGTTTGTGATAAAAATTTGATTAGACGACTGTGTAGGTAATTATTAATTACTGCCTTACGATATTTACATAATTCAATTTTTTAAAACTTTAACTAGGTATGACCAAATTTTGCTTGTATATAACTAAAATAGACATATATTGGACGCATTTTTACAGCTCGCGTGTATAAAAATAAAAATTAATAAAACAAAGCTCCCGATGTCAAAACAATAAATAAAACAATCTGAATGGCAAATCTGTATATTTAAATGAATAAATTTCTTCGTAATATTATTAACATTATTTTACTATTCGTTGATAATTCTTATTTTACAGGTGGAAGCAAAGTGGAAGATCCGGCAGAATGCACCATTTTAGTTACTGATAAAGTTCGTCGAACGTATAAATTCTTATGTGCGTTGGCAAAAGGTATACCTATAGTGACGATCGATTGGTTAAGAGAAAGTGAAACTGCGAAGAGGTTTCTAAATTGGGAAAATTATATATTAAAAGATCCCGCAGCCGAAACCAAGTTTGGTTTCAGACTGAGGAAGAGTCTTAATAGAGCTAAGGAGAAAAAAATGCTAGATGGTTATATCGTTGTATTAACGCCGAATGTCGAGCCACCGCCTATAAAAGAATTGAAAGGTAATAAAGAAATATTTTTATATTAACTTATATAAAATATATTTGCGTTTTTGTATTCTTACAGTCATAGTGTCATCTTGCGGAGGAAAAGCTCTATTACGTCCTCCGACTAAATGGCCCGAAAAAGCAGTGGTTTTATCTCGTGAAGAAGATTTGCGAAATGCAAAAAAGTTTCTTGTTAAAGCACCGAAGACTGTTACAGTACAATCTACAGAATTTATTCTAACTGGCATCTTAAGACAGGAAATAGATTTTGTTAAATATAAATTAACAGGCTAATTATTAATACTCATAGATCAGCATGTATAATCGATTCTTGTATTTAAGACTGACTTAGGTGCAGTCTCAAGATATAATAAATTAATCACAGATCCGCATTCTTAAGACATTAATTATATCTTGAAATAAGAATCGACCATGAATATCGAATTTTGGTATACATATTTTGGTTACTAATTAAAAAGACCAACTTTACTATTACATTATATTGTTATATCCCTTCAGTAAATTAGATGCAATATTGCTTTAGAACCTATATTATTTATGAAATTTTTAAGTATCCTGTTTTTATTAATGTAAGTTTCGATTCTAAACTATCAATCTTAATCTTGATTTCGTAAAATTTTCAATATCTCAAAGCACTATAAAAAACAGATTTTAGCAAATTTGAATTAACTATATACTTATAATATTGTACAAATGATTCCACATTAAATTAGATTCAATAGTTAAGTTCTTTCTGAAAAAATTACACATATTTTACTTATATGTAATGCTGAGATATGTAATCATATTTATTGTTTTATTTACATTCGAATTAATTATACGTATATCTCTCGGTTTTCTCTATTTTCTTTTATAATCCATTATTTTAAACATTTTTAGAAATTATCATAGAACGCGCTATTTTATTAAGATTTTTTTCAATTTTATAATTCATCATTCAATATTATTTTATATAAAATACAAGTGTTTGTTAGTTTTAATGTTATAACATATTGTATAATATATTCTTCAATTTTATAATATTTTAATAAAACACTAGATGAATAAAATATTTTAGTCAGTATAATGTAAACGATATAGTTGATTTATTTGTCTTAATGAAGAATTTATAATATTTATTAGAAATACTTTATTAAGAAAATATGAAAAAATTATTATTAATAATTTTAATAATATAATAAAAATAATAGTTAATATAAGGCTCCATAAATATAAAACAATTCAAATAATAAGGGGTAAAGAGCCGATAATATAACAAAACTAAACCTTAAATTTAAATATAATGTAGATACAATTCAACAAATGTTTCGACTCCGATCTAATACAGAAATATTCGTTATACAAAATTCGTTATCCTACAAAAATTAACAGTGTATCAATTCGTGTTCTTCGTGCTTTGAGTCAATAAGATGAAAAAGTCAGATTGTATAAAATATGGTATTTTAAAAATTATTCATGAGCCAATTTAAAAATAATTAATCGTGAGAAAGAGGAAATAAATAAAAATAAATATAATAAATACGTATTAAAATACTCATAAAATAATTTTAAAATAATTTTATAATTAAAATAATAAACTCGCACGGAATGCCAGAGATCCGGGTTTAACTCCCGGCCGAGATAATATTTTTCGTAGTAAAAAAATTAATTATTTACAGTTTTTAATAGGTTATTCAACATTAGTAAGATCAATATAAAATGCGTAAACAGCATCAATCAATTCTATTTAACTCGTGATAATATTACGGTAGTTTATTAGTGTTTCGTTTCAAGTCTGAAATTTCGGCACGCAATCGAAGAATTACATTCGTAGTATATAAATTCACACACAATTATTTAGAAGCCCATGATCCATCTTAGACCGCTGTGACATTGTCTCATTCGATTTAAAATAATTTGTTACGTATAACAGTTTTTAGTAGTATAATAATTTAACAAATATTTTATTATACAATAATTTTAAAAATGGAAACATTAAACATTAATTTCACTAATTATCACATTAAGACAAAGGTTTGATATGCTTAGTAGTGCGATTTTATAAGTTATGTAATAAGTTTTAATATTGTATTTTTTGTTATTTGCACAAGAAATTAATGGATTATTATTGTTATGTGTTTGAAATAAAGAGAAACTTAATATATATTTGTATATGAATAAAATTAAATAATATTATCTTTGAAGGAAGTTTTAATTTAGAAAAGACGTTTATTTTTCATTTTATTGTTATTTAAAGCTCATCTTTATTGATTCTAGGTATATTCTCCTTGAAATTAATTGAATTCCAGAATTCCTTTTCTCCAAAGTTAGCATTGCTGTCCATGTTAATCTTATCAGGACCAGCGATGTGCAAATAATGAAGTTCTTTCTTTGAAGGATCTAATCTAGGCCATTCCACATTGGCTATCTTCGGAATTCTGAAAAATTGGAAGAATTAGTATTTTTATATTGTATGAGTTTATATTTAATATCATATGCAATATATATGTATTTCTTGCTTACCCTTCTGTGGCAAATAGTACCCAAAAGTCGATTAAATGCTTTTGCATATCGCGATCTTTTTGTGTTGTGGTTGGATCTACCCAAGAAGTATTTAACACGTACACTACGTCATCGCCGTGCGAGACTCCTAATAAAACAAATGTATAAATTGAATGTATAAATTTTTTTAAATTAAACTTTTAAAATATAGATATACATGTATCTATTATATATTATAAATTTTCTTGAACATTAACGTTTTACAAACTCACCATAATTCACGGTGGTACCGCTGTAAGCATCACTTAAACTTTGTGCACCTCTGTAAGTAAAGTAATAATACCAAACTGGATTCTTATTTACTTTGGCCTGTATTCGCGCAGCTTTTTCACTATCCACGACAAAGAAGCGGTCACACGACATTTGTATCAGTTCTTTCGTACTTTGTCGATCTATCGGTTTTGTACCAAAGTAATGTTTCTTAACAAGACGAGCAATCTCGATATGCTTCTCCTTCGAGATAGTATAATTAAAATCAAGATAGGTTGGTCCGAGAATATCCCAATTATCGTTCAACTGTTTCAGATTTTGATCATCAGCAATAAACTCTACAATTATAGTATTTATAATATCTTTTCTCTTATAATGTGTTATTATGTATGTGAGGAAGCATAATTTGTACATTATTATGCACGATATCTTACCAGCCACAGGATAGAGACCTTCTTCACTCGTTACTCCTGTAACCCAAGGTATATCTTGAACGTCTCCACTATTGATAATCTCAATGGGTGTTCTATCGATGAAAGGTGTTTCATCACCAAATTTCTCAGCTACCGGCCCGAAAGGAGTGAAGGGATTAAAGAAGAATGGCTAAAATCGTATAACATTAGTCATAAGTTTCTTTTCTTCATTCGAGGATTGCATTTATTTTTTTGTAAAGAAAACATAAGTAGGAAAGAATTTTACCATAAATTCACTTGTACATTGTACGATTGCACGAGCTGGACGATATCTCAAGCAACGTATCATATCTCTGGAAGTACTTGTAGGACATCCCATCAAAGTGCTCAATTTCTTGGTCTTCTCTAAAGAATTCTCAGCTTGCGTCCAACAATCAAATGCTGTACCGCTAAACGATATGCCACCTAAAATTGTGACATATAGCAATTTAATTACGCATTTAAGGCTTTCACGAGTATTAACTTCAATTATATCAGAAGGTTTACGGGTTATCGCCGTGTCTCTTTCTTTATTCTTAATGCCGACGTTTCGTGAACCATATGCCGTTCACTTCATCAGGGCGAGAGATATGCACTGATACCGCAAACCTTCTAGTATAATTGTAGTAATATAAATGAAACGATTTAATTTTTATATTAATTTTTACATTATAGTAGTGAAACTACAGGGAGTCTGGATGTAGATGTGTTAGTGCGTATACGTGTATACGTATATGCGATACGTGTGCGTGTGTGCGTGCGTACGTGCGTGTAAGAGAGGCTAGGGAGGGGATGCAGTACTCGTAGGCGCGGAGGAGCGCGAGAGGGGGCAACGCGGTTTTATCCGGGTAAAACTTGACAGGTTTGAATTTCTCGGAGAGGGTCTATTCCCTCCTTCTTCGATTACAGAAGTATCACCAAGTTAGGGGGCAACGCGGTTTTATCCGGGTAAAACTTGACAGGTTTGAATTTCTCGGAGAGGGTCTATCCCCTCCTTCTTCGATTACAGAAGTATCACCAAGTATCACTGTTACATAGAGAGACAATAATAAAGTCGTGCACGACATCGTCATTACGATCGTGTATATATACGTATACACATACAGTTCTCGCGCTGCATGGCAACGGAAGTTCGGTGTCGGCATCTCAAAAGACAAGGTTTGGAGGAAGGGACGCTCGAGTCCGCGCGGATCGAGCGATCCCTTCGACCTGTTGCATCAGAGAACGCAGTTACACGCGCGCGTCACGTGTACAGAACGCCAATCAAAGAGCTCCCCAATTAGTGGGGAACTGCGTTCTGTCGAGGAAAAAGTCAGTCGTCCGGTGATCGTGCCACGTTTCGCTTGTCTTTCGAGATCCGAGTCGTTTGTCGTAAGCTTTAGCGTGCTTAGCTGGTTTTTCGAGTTCAGTTCGCTGTCTCTGAGTTCCTTCCGCGTTTCGTTCACGCGGCATCACTTCGTACGCGAAGTATATGTATATTTGTGTATATTTGTGTAAATAAACTGTAAAATAAGCGAAAAGACAGTAGGAATATTAATTTATTCCTCTCACATTCCAATCACCGTACAATGCTGATGTGATCAGTCTTGCTATACTCGCTTGCATGAATGGATCAAAAATGTTTCGCTTTGACTTCGTCAAAGAGAGCAGCGCATTGTGCGAACCGAAGAAGGACTGTAACGCGCAAGTTTTAATATTCTATACAGAAAAAACGTTTCTTTTTTTTCCTACAACATTATGCATGTAATTGTGTTATTATATACAGCACGGAGCGTCGCGCGGTGCGCATACTGAGTCGACGATACAACTTGACCGCTATACTGGCTACAAGTTTTTGGAAATTGCAATCAACGTTGATCCACCAAGTTACGTGGAGATCGTTCTGGGAGACCATCGCGGACGCGAACTGCCGTTGTCTCTCGAAACGTGGAAGGGTCTCTACAAGCAGCGATGGAATATCTACAAATTGCTACGAAACGAATACGGGGATAATTTTATAAGCGTTGGACTGCTAACGATCAGAGTTTGCACGCTGAACAACGTTGTACGAATCGAATCTTTAACCGTATGTATGATGATGATCGAAT